ACATGCCGCAGTTTAATAGCTTGTTTGGAATATCAAGACGACGCCTGTGATATAGATTTCGACTGCTGATGGACTATTTGACAACAGAGGGTTTCCAAAGATACAAATTGATGCAGACAAGGATAACTTATATGGTTGCTGTTATTATCTTCGTATTATATGAAGGTCGATGTTTTTGATATATGCTCAAACGCGTGATCAAATGCTTTTTTGTTACTATCACAGTTCTCAAGTTTAGGACGTCACACTAATATGATTTGACCTATATTTACATGAAGGTTGTTGTTGAGGTAAACCTTTTGGAACACGTCGTTTTATTCTCATTGACCTTTGTATGGGTCGCCATGTTTATCTTTTCTTTGTTTAAGGAGGCAGTACCCAAATCGGATCAGTACCCAAATCGGCCAAATCGGATCAGTACCCAAATCGGATCAGTACCCAGATCGGATCACTTTTTGCAAAAATACTTATAAATAAATAAATGTGTCAACAAACTAATTATAACAATGAAGTAGACTTAGAATAGATAGCCATGCACCATTTTTTGTCTACAGAAGTTTAGTTTTTAGGTTTAAATAGCAAAAGAAATCGTAATTCAAACTCAAATGTCAGTGTTTTGATAAACTTTTTAAAATATTTTGTCATATAAATTCATCATAAAATGTTAATATGCTAAAAAAATATTCATTTGAAGCGTAAGCTACTGCATAATTCAAGCCTTGATCCGATTTGGTTCCTGACATTTGCAAAAACAGGAGACGCTGATTGGTGACTTCAGAGCGTTCTATAAATATCTCAAGGGAGCCCCGGGTGCTAATTGCGTTTGTAAGATCACCCATCGATATTCTTCCTTTGATACAACCATAAAGGAATATAATTCCTCCTCAGATGTTTCAATGATTCAATAAAATGATGGTTTGGTGATCCGATTTGGGTACTGTCACCTTATATGCCATGGATTGATCGATTTGAGTTCGCATAACGATATTTTAAATATAAACAAAACAAAGACATTTGCGTGAAGATTTTATGACGAATTTAATCAATTAGAAAATAAATTGTAAACCTGTTTGTTTTTGTAATGCTATTTTATTTCACAATTGATGCAAGGATTACTCTATTCTTGAGTCACTCTTATTCCTAAAAAGTCAGCGATATGTCAACAATTATAATTACAACTGAAAAAGAATCGATTGTCGCCTTTCTTTTACTTTTAGTGTCATCCGTCAATACGCACTTCATTTTTCCTGAAGAGCAACAGAGATAGAATATTCGGTCGACACCGTTGCATTTGCACCTATATTTCACTCATGTAGAAAATGTTTCCATTTCTGCTGGTGAAATATATAGTGTTTGCCATACTACTGTTAAATATACTTAGTATTCAATAAAGATCATAAGTTATCCTCTATTCAATGAATATTTCCAATATAATATTTTTCGTCAGCGTTAATAAGATATACAAATGATATAAGTCAATTACAGAGAACATCTGCAGACAGGTACACAGGGAAGGTAATCTGCATTTAGATTAGGTTTGTCTCCTTTATCAAACTAAATGGAGAACAAATAAAGATGTTGTGATACGTTTTTATTTTTATAAAAGTAGATAATACATTTAGATCGTTTACGAAACATTTTTTAACGAAACGAGATATAAAACAACGGTTCCTAACCTATTCTCAGGCTTTTCGCACTTTTGTCGAGCGAAGGTTATTAGATTATGCATAAATAAAACTGATTTCAAAACAATAAAAACACGATTTTAACATTGTGATCGAAATGCATGAATTTAGGAATCATTGTATCTAATTTCTTAATACTTTATTAAGATCAGTTTTAAAGGTAGTGATATTGTTCGTTAAATTTGAAATATATAACGTGAAATGTTATTTTTGTCTTTTCGGTATCTAAAGCGTAAGCTCATCTGGACAAGCAAACTTTTAGAAGCCAAATCCCCCGCTTTTAGAACATTGTTGTCACCTGCAACTAGTATGAAAGATGTGATGTAGACATTTATAGGACCATTATCGTTGTGTATTGTAGAATATGGTTCTCCAAGTTTTGTTGATATTCAACTATTTTCAGGCAGGAATTGCATCGGAACATATTAACCTATCAAAATAAAGTAAATTAATAAAGTATGCATATTTATGCATTATGTTGTTGGAAGAGTCTTTAGTCCCTCATGTTTGCTGTTACCATGATGGCCACTGTTATCTCTTTCACGGTAATGACAGGGTTCTAAATAGCTACACTTTACGCATCTTTCATTTGAAATTACAGAGTACTCATCTCATTCTATTAATTCATATTTGTAAAGGAATACTGCACCTCCTGTGTTACAACAGTAGTTTAGACCAAACGGGGTTTCCACCTTTTTGGCACCTATCATCAAAAATGAGTTAAAGATTAACAAAAAGTCTGTCTGATACAGTGTTAGTTTTTTGACATACTGTACCTATTACCAAATCTATAGAAGCAGCCTGACGTTTATGTCTTACGTTCATCAAACATCACAATGTCCATTAAGCTGAGCCTGACATTTACCATTATACCGAAATTGGTTGAAATCGAACCATTTTAGAACAATTCTTAAAAGAACCCAGTAAACCAACAAGATAAAGTAACTTTTTTAACTCGTAAAAGCACGAATTACGTTGATGTCAAAAATAAGTGTATGTTATACATACCCCGTTTTATTTCGATCCAACCATTTAAAGAACAATTTGTAAATCTAAATGCATTACATGGGTGATAAAGGTGATGTGAGGCATGCATTTATGAATGTGCATACCCGATGTTGTTAAAGGAAGATATTTAAGGGCAGTGTTAAACCGAAAACCAATCAATCAATTGGAATACAATTGCCTCATTAACTATGTGTACATAAACACGAATCGAATTGGCCATCACGCTTAGCCAGAGTCTTGCAATTGTGTATGCACATACCAAAGTTTGTTAAATCGGACAATTTAAGGGTAAGACCAGTTGTTTAACGTAACAGACGGATGAAGGACGAATCGGCAGGCGGATGGATACACATTCGTTTTCTTCGAAAAGCGGATGGAGGTATGACATTGCCTTTTAATATCTCCCTTCAACTGTTTGAGACGTTAAATGACATGACAGCGAACTGACCTGAGATGCCGAAGTTTGATTTGTTTGTTGTTTGTGTTTTACGACCAGGCTGAGTGAAGGGGGTATCCTTACAGTGTGACAGCTAAATATCACAGACGAATGTTTGGTTTGGTTTGTTTGTGTTTTACGTCCTACATTTTTGTATTAACAGTTATGATAATTTAAGGACGTGCAATGTGTTGGTGGTGAAAAAAGCCGGAGTTACCGGAGAAAAAAACACCGACCTACGGCCAGTACCTGGCGACTGCCCCATGTAAGTCTCGAATTTGCGACCCAGCGGTGGGGGGCTAATGGTAGCAGAATGTCAGACGCCTTAACCACTTGGCCACCGTGGCCCCGATTGAAGTAGAAGTAGATGAACCTGTTCAGAAACGATCGAAATTTAACAAAGCGTGGGTCATCTCAGCCATTGTTAGTCTCTTTAATTTCCCAATCAAAGGGCACAGGGGAAACCTCCCTCTTACTTTCAAGCCAGAAAAAAATCACATTGGACCAATAACGAAGTGTTTATCTTAGGATGTGTGGGAGTGACATTCTGTCATCGATTACGTGCCCCATGCTTGCCCTGCTGTTTCGGGGAAGTTGACCTATCGTATCCTATTAAATGATAGAAAGAGGCGACATATGTGGGACCCTCTGCGAAATTAGGAATTATCATCTGTGTCTTCATATTGGGGGCGGCACAGGGCAGACCATAACCCTCCATTGTAACATTTAACGTTGATCTATTGCTTTTGGACTGTCTGACCTTTCCTTTCTGTCGAAGCTCCATAGGTACTTCTGGATCGGCAGTTTAAACGAAACGTGACCGTTCGGGGATTTCGTGTTTATGTATTCAAGTTATATTATATTAGTGAGATTACTCTTTAAGGTGGCCCTTTGTTGTCCCAATCTTCTTTGGAAACAGGCTGTATATTCCTTAGCTGTATTGGAGTCGCAAATTGATTCAAAATGTGTCCCACACATCAAAGCATTATTGTTTTGTAATATTTAAAAAAAAAAAAAAAAAAAAAAAATTCCCGTTTTTTCGAGANTCCCGTATTTTCGAGAGTTTTACAAAGTTATTATCGAAACAATAATAAATAACATCAGCATATTTTTTCATATATTCATATTGTATGGTAGAATACGACCCATGGTTAAAAAGGACTTAAAACTGCAAGTATATTAGACAAGTGATGTGCATATATATGGATATTTGGGATTGGCATGTCAGCTTGCGCTGTCGTTATTACGGAGTCTGAACACTCTTTATACTTAAGAGCCAACAGGAGTGTAGCGGCTATCGATCGCCTGGGAACCTGATGTACACAGTGTTACTGACACTTACTCGTCAGTCAGCGTGGCGTGTGAAAGACAACGTTCACACTAGCACAGCGTTATAGCGACATTCGAGCGGGAAACACGAGAACATACATCACACCAAGTACAAAACCAACGGTTTTGTGAAAGCGTAGAGGAAACATCGGACATATATATCGAATTAATCAATTTTTCCGAAAGTAGTCGAGGATTTGTTTACCTTGTCTTAAGAATGACATCTCTGTATCAGGAAACGATGTGTGCTGCACAATCTGTGTAATTCAACGAAGAGAAACGGGAACTTTCTTTATTTTAAGTGATTAAGTGTAAACCCTTACAGAAAAAGGACACATATGCATATTACAACAAATGTGATATATCATAGCATTATATGAGTATGATTAATAACGGAAATTAATTTGAAGAAACATTTGATAAACCTTCGGTATATGATAAAGGTAGAAAACAAGGATTTAGACTTGAACTTTCCTCACCAGGTACAAATATACTGAGATACTTGTATTGATTCCATTGGTATGCGAGGGGCAGTTCGGATCATGAAACACATGATCGTTTCAACAAGACGGGCGTCTTCACCGATCAGGAACCGAAATGTGATGGCTCAAAGGGTAAGTGCTATTACCTAAGTTACTAGAGGAAATCAATGATAGTTGAAGGTTTGTGTTATTGTTTAAGTTTGACACAGGGTAAACTTATAATGCCTAAAAAGAGTGAACGGTAACGTAGGGTCTCCAAGGTAACATGGGGCAAAACAAATAGCTAAAAAGGGTAAGTGGTATTCCTTTAGTCCAACACAGGATACAAATTAGCTTAAAAGAGTGAGCGTTATCTTAGGATTGCTTAGGTAAATGTGGTAAACTTTGATGGCTGAAAAAATGTGATAGTTATTGCTTAAGTAAATTTAACCCAGGGTAGAACTACCATGGCAAAAAGGGTGAGCATTACACTCATTAAAAAGATATACTGATATGGCATGACCTTTTTTCTGACTGATTAAAATACAGGAGAATGTGAGGGTTGCATCACCTATATATATCCATAGGGAAACATCCGGTTCACTGAAATTTAATGACTCTATACATAAAGTTGAAACTGATTTATCAAAACACTTCGGAAACAAATATTTTGGTTCAAAGTGAAAGATATTCTGGTTAGGATAATCCATCAAAGAAATGGGATTGATCGGTCGTAGGTGAAACGACGTGACCAAAATAAGATTGATGCTCCTGAAACAGAGAAAATAGAAAGGACTGCCACTGAAACAGAGAGATTAGAAACACAATATAGAATAACACAAATGATTCAGATATAAAATAAAAAAACAGAATATGGTAGGATACCTGAAGTGATTCAGAATGTATGAATAGAAAAGGTACAGTATGTTGACCAAAATAACTCTTGTGACACTTTGTGATTGCTCAAGTGATAGCGATTTTTCCTTACTTGTAAACTTCAGTAAACGTTTATGATTTGATTAATGCAGGGATCTACATATAAAACTTTCCCTAATTCATAATTTGCCAAATTGTTTTTGGTTATGATTTCCAATTACGGTCTTATTATTATTGTTTTATTTCCTATACTTACCTTAACACTTTTCAAAAGAAAACACAATGTCACTAATTTCTGTAACCTGTATCTCCGTTACCTTGGTACATAATGTTTATTTTTTATTGCAAAATTGTTTCAAAAAGGACAAATTAAAGAGATAAGATAAAATCATTAGATCAACAGTACATCAGGCTTCTTAAATCACTATTTACAAACGCTCTAGAACGACCGACTTGTTGGGATTCACCAAGATTGCTGCTTTATTTATAGATATCGATCCATCCTTTAATTTTATCACTGATTCTTATTTCAAATATCCAGAATTTATCCTGATATCGATTAAAACTTCATTTGATGAGCATCACAGTTCGATTGAATGATATATCAATAATCTTCTGACTCAAACATGTGTATTAAAAGTGTGTAAATATGTCCCTTTCCCTACCTGTAATGTAATAAAAATCTCGAAATAAAAATTAGTACCTTTAAATGTCCTAAAATAGGTTGGTTTCTGCTTTCCATGTTAGTAAATTCTACATATCAAGATTTATAAAAATACATGGAAAAATAGTATGTCCTGATTTGGAGATTTGGAAACTATTTGAAACCCTTTATATATGTTCGGTTATGTTCTAAGATTGTGATTAAGAAAAGGCGTTCCGGATACTGTAGAATCATTTATTTTCGTGGAGTAAAATGTTCGCGGTTTTCATATACTAGCCTGTTTCAAGGACATTATATTTCGCTGATTTTTTATTTTCCCCTATCTATATCATACAAAATACATGTTTTCGTGGGGATTTAATTTCGTTGATTTTTGTTATCCACGAAATAAACGAAAGTTAATGTCCCACGAAAGTTTATGATTTTATGATAGTTCGAAAATCTCTTTAATATCGAATCACATGAGGCGTATAAACACAGTTAGCTGGACTGTCAGGGATGGTACTATCCAGGAAAAGAAAGTTCATGATCCGAAAATGAACATAGTTACGCTCATCGTACAACCGTCCCTATTTGTCATTTTGTAAATGAATATCGAGGAAGGTGTGGAAGTAGATGAATCTGTATTGACCCTGATTAAAAGGTAAAGTAGGTAAATACGATCGATGTGATAAAAAACGAGAAGGTATTAAGCAATACTTTTACAAGTTTTCTGTTCTGTATGAGCAGTTTAATAACAGTGTTATACAATTTCCTAATTCGAAATCAATTGTGACATTGTTTTCATTTAATATATAATTTAATAAGTGTACCCTGATTTACCTGAATTTCATTCACAGCGACAAATTGTTTTCGCTGTTCATTAAAAAAGCAAGAGCATACACACCTATGAATTAGTTCTTCGTTAGTTGTAAGAGCATACACACCTATGAATTAGTTCTTCGTTAGTTGTTTAAGCAGTATTTCTGCATACCATGAAACTTATACCGTGTTTAAATATTCGTTATCTTATTAAACCCACCCTCATTGCCGAAGTAGAAGTTGAGCGAAAAATTTCCGTTATGTAGTATCTGGTATGATAGACTTAACAGAGTAGTTTTTATACTTTTACAAATTAAAGACGACAGGGCAAGGATGATGTAAACTGTTTCTATGGTACCATATCTGTAATCACTTGACAGACGCACTTTCGTTTATGTATGGTTAGTATAGTTTATTGGATTTGTTTCGAGGGACATCTCTTGGAGATTGTTCAACACATGGTTCATAGACTTTTACAAATCGTGAATCAGTTACCAAAGCTTACGAGGACACCTCTATCTCTGAAATCTAATTCAAAGCCTTTCGATTTTATTGTTACGTCATACCACAATTCCTTTGATGTTCATCAAAGACACTAAACCAGAACGCTTGTATCATCTGCAAGATATCAGGTAAGGAGCTTTCAATTTTGCCATGAAATGTTCCTGGGGTACTGAGAAGATATGCTTTTCGATAGGGGACTCCTTGGTTTACCTGGACACCTCATAGAAAACACTAGCAATCTGCGAAAAGAACTAAATAACGGATAGACAAATATAGGCTTGTAGCTTTGTTGTACGATGTACGTTACGTGTTGACGAGTATTTCTAGATGTCAATAAATACGTTCGACGTGAATTACGTAATACATGAAGACTATGTCATCCTCGTAATTTCATTTCTCTATACCTCTGGGATCTGTCATGACGAACTTGAAGGCTCTGTGTGTGGCTTACTGTGGATGATACAATTAAAGTAATTCGATCCTTTGATGTACATCAAAATAATTGCATAACGGTAAATTTGACAGGCTTGTAAGTAGGATGTCTCTCCTTTGTAAACTTAAAAGGGCAGGTATGTAACAGCCTAGCGATTGGCCATTTTTTTCATATTTAAAACCAATTAAATCGCTATTTTCGTGCCTTCAATTTTGTCATATTCCAGAGGTACAGAGTATCGAGGATGCGACAAGTGAAGCCTAAGGTTTTATGGTCACTAGCATGATCTCTTTAGAATTTCTTTTTTTATATATATAAAAGGTCAATGCTATTTTTACACTCAATAGGTAACCTTGTTTTTTCACTACCCCGGCTATCGCGGGTGTCGTTCATGAAGAAAAAGACAATTTCTCTTCCGGAACGTTTGGTTTTTCTTTTTCAATGGTGTCAATGTGAATCGTTCCTTTGTTTAATTTTTGACCTTGGTTTTTAGATTTTGAGTTGGAGTCAGGATTTTGTTGACACTTTCGTAATCTGTTGTTGTTTATATATAGGTACTTTACACATTTTGCTTATTATTGCTAATTACAAACCAGGTACCCAACTAACGGCATCCAACCACTTCTGTTTTCTGGACTATTGAGAGTTTCCTTTAATACTAACTGAGTGATAACAACAACTGCATTCAAGATTTATATAGTCGTTGTGGCTTACTCATAACTAACGCACTAAGTACTACTTTGTTTATCTGTTTGGCTCATATATTGTGTTGATGGCTACAAAAATGCCTTCTTTTTATAATATTTTTGGCTGTAAGAGAGCCGTGGTATGTAACACTCACTATACTTATGTTATTCCATATCAACAGAAGCAATATAATAGGCACGGTAGTCTAGTGGTAGGACGCCGGGCTCGTGACCGAAGGGTTGCGAGTTCCAGTCACGGCACGGCACTGTGTTGTATCTTTGAGCGCAAGATAATTTACTCCGCTTGTTCCAGTCTACTCAGCTGTAAATGAGTACGTGGTTAGGCAGCGCTAGAATTGTTGAATGCTAGCTGTTAGCGGCGAAATGGCAGGTCCGGTTGTATACTCCCCAGGGAGTTGGGAATGATAGTAGCTGGGTGCAAACGCCCTATAACCACGAATAGTAATCTGTGAACCATTTTGAGACGACCTACGAACTCGGTTGTGATAAAGCGGTATATAAGAACCTCGAGTTATTATTATTAATAGACAGTGTCATGATTTGATTTTGAGAGTTGAATGACCAAATGCAAAAATAATGCAAATCAAACTCAAATACTCAGCTTTCGGTTTGAAGCCATGATGTGACACTTCCTTGTGTACGAAATATATCTACAACTCACGTGTTTACCTGATCCTATATTTGTTTGCTACATGTATGCTGAAATAAATTTCGTAAGGATTACAAGAGTATCTATGGGTTCATATTTTAAGCAAGAGATACGTGTGCTGCTAATTAATTATTTTAATTAAGAGGTGCATAATAATAAAGGATATGTTCTTGTGACCCAAATCACATTCGATAAAATATTGCCATATTAGTGAGATCACGGAAAAACATATTTGTATTTCATTACGGTCAGGTGACAAAATACATTATGTAAACGCTTGTCACTGGGATCATTTGACAAAATATTGTCATTTCACTATGATTATGTTACAAATTGACATTTTTCTGTGATCAAGTGAACATTGCTTTTTTATGTTGTTGTAGGACTTAAAACTGTCATAAATCTGTATTCATATCAAAAATACAATTATTAAGCCTTGAAATAAAGTTACGCTATAAGATAAACAAGACATCAAAGATACCTGGAGTGACATTAATTATTATGCAACGTTTCAATAAT